CCACATTGTATTTGAACTGTGTATGTTCCTGTCTGGCTTTCCACTGGTCTATACATCCTTGAGGAGGATGGATCTTTCTTCTTTGTATCTTTTCTCTGAGTTACAGTTTCTTTACCAATGGTTGCTCATTTTACCAGACCAATGAATGGAAGAAGTCATGTCTTAATTATTAATACATTTAGTCTTTACACATGGTCTCTGTTCTCCACATTCTTGAGAATCTCAGTGTTTAAAGAAAAAAAGACTTATATTTGTCTGCCACATTGTCCTTATAGGTTGTGAATGAAAAGTGTCCTATTTAAGCAGTGTCTCCTAAGTCTTGATTTTTTTATAACAATAATCAAGTAATTATTTAGAAATATGTGATATTAACACACACACACACACATATATATTTTATAATTAACTTAATTTCACATATCAGCCACGGATTCCCCCATCCTCCCTCCTCCCACTCCCCAGTCCTCCCCCCAATGCACCCCCCATTCCCACCTCCTCCAAGGCAAGGTCTCCCCTGGGGAGTCAGCCCAGCCTGGTAGACTCAGCAGAGGCAGGTCCAGTCCCCTCCTCCCTACACTAAGGCTCAGCAAAGTGTCCCAGCATAGGACCCAGGCTCCAAAAAGCCGGCCCATGCATCATGGACAGGTCCCACTGAGCCTTGATTTTTATATCATCTCGATGTCATTTTAACTTTAAGTTGAGATATTCTGGTTTAGATTTAGTTTAATTTTGTTCAGTTTCTGCTTCCCTTTAACTAAGATTATAGGACCTTCTTAAGAACCAACAGTCTTTTCACTGTAATTATGTGAGACTATGTGCATGCATACCCTACATCTACAACAGATGATGAAGTGATGTTGTCATGTGTTCTGTCTCAGGAACGCTTACCTGTATCGACACATTCCACTTTTGAGGATGAGATCCTGTCTGTCAGTTTGGGGTCAGAGGATAAGTGTTGAAGCACTTTAAAAAAAAATCAGCTTTCGGCATATTTTACTTTGCACAGTGCCTTTTTCATGGGACTATACACATTTAAATGAAAATGAATTAAGATTTTAAACGAAAAGGACATTATTAGCATCTTAATTTCTTCCAGAGTGGGAAATTTTCTCAGCTTCTCTTTTTAGATGTCTGAAGTTTTACCTTGTAGCCCATCATATGCTAGGAAAAATCTATGCATTTATTTACACATTAGCAGGTGAAATCCAGACTTTTCTCTGGTTCAGGTTGGCAAACTGATGACTACCTTTGCAGCACACTGCCACCTGGTGGTGAACATGGTAGCTGCAGGAAGTAGGGTAACGAGACAACTGAAAGCCACATGCTTGGGAACTCAATTCAGTCATTTATTTAAATTTTAAAAGACGTTTTCTCTCTGGCCTTGAGTTTGCTTTGTAGACCAGGCCTGCCTCTGTCTCCTGAGTGCTGGGACTAAAGGCGTGTGTTATCACAGCAGGCCACATGCCTGGAGTTTTGACGACCTTTTCACTCAGGTAACTTGAGTCAGACCTTTCAGGAACTTTAGCAGAGGATCATGTCTGCACCCCCAGGTGACGGAAAGGTCCATGTTTATTCAGGGATTAGTTCTGTACTTGCACTTTGCTTGAGCTGCTAAACATGTAGAATCATGATTTAAAGTGGGATATTCTTGTGTACCACTAAAAGACCAGCCTTAATAATATACTTCCCAGGGGCTCAGAAGAGAAACTATGAATGGCGAGATTTATTTTCGGGAAAAGAATCAGCACATCGAGCTCTTTGTCCATTTACTTTAACCCTCTCTCAGTCTCTAGCTTTACAGTTACATACCCAAACAATCACAGTCCTTCCCCTCCAGCCAGGTCACCAGGCCTGAATTCCTGCAAGGTCATAAAGGCAGGTAAAAATTTCCTCAGGCAGTGACCATCAGGCTTTCTTTACTACCTGAAAATGGAGTGGTTAAGGCAGGAGGTCAGCTGAGAGCTGATATCAGTTAGTATACCAAAAAGGGAATTTATGTGCTCAATCTACATTCCTAGAAGAGGTTAGGTAAGAAGTTAGGAGTCTATAATGTTAGTAAGGCTGTATAAGAAAGGAGGGTCTCACCCTAAATTGCATAAGAAATAAAGCTATCCTTTCTCACCTAGGAGACAGGTGCTGTTTCGTTTGGCCTTGGATGCTTAAGTCTGTTCTTAGAGAGTACAGAGGCATCTCTGATAAGGTACTTTCATCCCTCTGGGGATGCTAATGACAGCAATTACAGGGAGGCTTGACCTGCCTGTGCATAGCTGTCAGCACAGACGGTTATCTGAATATTCCATTAGTAGACAAGAAATGGTGCCCAATAAATGATGGAAAAGTTAC